GAAATAATCCATCATCAAATAAGCTGATTATTTTTTCCTACCATCTGTATACAGATCTACCACAAGAAACACACTTCAGCTGGAAACTAAGGCAATTTGTATTGACTGACTACACTGAGTCAAGCAAATACCACCTACATCTGCACTGATGGTTCCATGCTTCCCCTTGCCCCTCCAGCTTCGCTGACTCACGAGATCAGGAAGAAGAGATGATCCAGAGGCACATTCGGAAGGTGGCAAGTTCCAGACCAACATGTGGGACCCCTACAAATATAAACCCTGATGGCCAGTACCCAACATGACTGTAGCCTCCTTAAAGGAGCCAGCCCTTCTCAAACTGCTGAACAGCTCAACCTCTTGGATACAGCTATAAGAAAGGGGAGAAAAATCCAAGTGGTGTTATGCCTGTCCTGAAAGCACCAGGTGGTACATGTCAGGGCAACATTTAACAGAATTAAAATGACCAAACTGGCCAGTCACAGATTGCCAATTCCTACCCACATAGTACCACAGTAAAATGCAATGCAGCTTCAAAGGGCTGAGAGTTGTCCTTTCGGTTTTATTTTTTTTTCTCCCCAGAATGCAACTTAAGCATCCCATATTGCATCCCTCTAAACGTTCTGATAATTTCAAGCATTCCAAGAAAATTACTACAAATATACCAGAGGCCTAAAACAAGTTTCTCTAGCTGTATTTCTTCCTAACTGGCCATTTCTAGAAGGCTAATATCAATGAGTGGCTAATATTACAGCATCATTCCCAGACTTTGAAAGCAAAAACTGAGAAAAGGACCAAGGGAGGTTCTACCTCCTACACACTAACTCGATTCCTCAGCAGTCAGATGTTTTCCCTGCCAAAGGTTTCTATTTCAATGTCTCTACCCATAGGATGGAAAGGCTTCCCCTTCCAGGTGGTACACTAAGCACTCTGGATGTTCAACAATTTGATGACACTTCCAGGGGCAAGGATGTCAGACTGGGACAAAATGTGAGGAGCTATTTCTAGCTGTTCTCCTCTGCTTTGTCAGAGGCCACACAGCAAAGCTACTCCCAAAGCACTCAAAGCAGGATGTAAGACAGAGGAGATGACTCAACTTCTGTTCCTCATAGTAAGCTATATATAAAAGGCTAGTTACCACCACACTTTCAAACCTGGGTTTTAAACAGAGGTGGAGATACTGAGAAAAATCACAGTGGCCCCTAGGTAACCACCATGACATGCCAGGGGAATCGGTGCGTACAATAAGCCCCCTAGTGCCAAAAGGCCAACACCCTCTGCAAAACAGATCCATCTTCCTTCCTCTTCCTCACTGCGATCTCCACTGGGGCCGAGCGCTTTCCTGTCCCACCGGTACCGTGCGGGCCCAGCCCATGTCCAGCGGCTGCTCCTCGGCCCGGGAGCGGAGCAGGCTGTGCCCAGGTGACCCGGCTCGGCACAGTGCGGCGCCCGCTGACAGCCCCGCGCCCCGGCCCCTGCCGCGCCTCAGGGGCTGCCGGCTCTGCCCCACGGCACCCCCGGGGCTGGGGGACGCAGAGAGGGCACTGAAGCCCGGCGCCAGGGGCACGGCGGCCCTCGCCGACCGCGAGGAACTGGCTTCGCTCGGGAAGGGGAAGCCCAGGCACATCACCGAAACCAGGGCCCCCCTCCCGCCCGCCTGCCCGCGCTGCGGCTGGGGAGGAGAGGGCGGCGCGCCCCGAGGGAGCGGCGCGGCGGCGGTCTCCGTCCCTCCGCCCTCGCCCCGAGGCGGGGGACCCCCAAAACCCAAGGGAAAAGCCCTCTTGCCCTGGCCTTTGTTCCGAAAGCGGGTGCCCGCGGCGCCGGGGCGAGACAAAGGCGGGGGCGCCACGGCACCCCGCCCGCCCCGAGGCGGGGAGGGACAGTCGCCCCTGGCCCCGCCGCGCTGGCCCGCACACATGCACTCGCGCACGGCGACAACGACGAGCGGGGTTACCTTGTTCATCCCATTCCCCATGGCTTAAGCGACCCGCACGCCAGCACCGCGGGAGAAGCCGTCGGCCGCTGCTGCCAGCGGCGGGTCGGCGTTCATGGGACAGTGCTTGCCGAGGGGGGACTGGGGACGGGCTAATTGCTAATCAAGGGCGGCCGCTGCTCGCCGCTGTCGGACAGGGCGAGGCGCATCCCTCTCGCCCTGGCCGCGGCCGTCGCCCTCCTGGATGCCGGGCGGCTGGGGGCGGGTTTCCGCTCGGCCGCCCCCGGGAGCGGCGAGAGCCGCGGGGCCGCGCTGCCAGGATCCACCTCCCGCCGCCGCCGCCACCGCCCCACGCGCGGTGCGGGCCCCGCGGGCCGCCCTGGGGCTTGTAGTCCGCGCCGCCGCGCCGCGCCGCCGCCGCCTGCCCCAAGGAACTACGCGTCCCAGCGACCCCCGCGCCGCAGACCTGCCCCACCTGCCGCGGCCGGCGGCGCCCGGCGGGCGTTCCGGGGAGGATGAATAAGCGCCGGCCGCGGTGTCTGAGGGGTGGCGGCGGTAGCTCTGGCTCCTGTGGGTCGCTCCTAGGCACGGACCGCCCGCCGCCAGTGCGCCCACGGAGGGCAGGGCTGCGGCATGCGGTGCGGGAGCGGGCAGGTGCTGCCCGCCCGTCTCTGCCATCCGGAAACCCGTTTGGTTTTCGCTATGGAAGGGCTCTGGCAGGAAGCACCAGGCCTTGGGCACCGGGGACCGCTGCCGTAACTGCCCGCTCCCAGCCCGTGCCGCTCCGGTGTGCGCTGCCCAGCCGTGCCGCTGAGCTGAGCCTCCCCGGTGTGCCACCTGTGCCCTGTCAGGGCACCTGGGTGGCTCCGGCTGTTCATCCCAAACACGCTGCGGGCAAGCTAGCATCGCGGGTAGACAAAGGACATTCGTGTCCCTAACTCAAACAGACGGACACACAGGGGAGAGCAAATAGTTTGACGCAAACATCGCAAGATCATAGTGACTGAGGTGGGAAGACACTTCTGGAGGCTGCCTGGTCCAACCATCTTCCTCAAGCAGGGAAAGATGCTTTTTGCTGAGCCATGGCAGGCGTGGCTTCAGAGCCATGCTCACTACTTCCACCCTCATGCTTCGCTCCCTAATGCTCAGTACAGCGTGACATTATCATGTCACATCCCTCTACCCATGGGGATGTATTTTTTCGAGGTGTGGTGATGGGGATCTGGTGGTTAGTGAGGGAAATTTTATCCCAAGAGTTAATTTGATAGGGGATAGACAGGGGTCAAATACGCAGAGAGGGGATACTACTGCATAAGGTCTCTCCCAATAACCAGTGCAGTAACACTACCTAAAAACACTGAAATCCTTAGTGGCTCAAATGTAAGACAAAGGAGGATGCTGCTGTGTAGCCATCATCAGATTCCCTGTGCATTTATACCTGTGTCAGTGGTAGATGTATGTAAAAAGTGAAAATGTCATTTTTTTGGGCTCACCTTGGTAGGACTGGGCAGATCAGAGGCATCTGCAGTCCAGCACAGTCCAGTGAAAGGGTGACACACGGTAAAGCCAATGGGCAGCAAGGCCAGGTATGAAATAATGGATTGATGAACTCTGTAATGGACAGATTAGTGACAGGGGACTCTTACCTAGTGTCAGTGGTTGCCAGTACAAGCAAACTCCAAGGGAACAATTTCACAACGTCCAGTTGCAATCAAACATTGGCATTCTCGTACTACCCTTGACAGCACCTCTGTTCCCCTTTCCTTAGGCAACCCTTGACGCTTGTCTGACCCAAGACCAAACTAATTCAGAGAATGAGCCCTGTAGAAAGCTGAAGAATCACAAACCCACTCCCTGTGGGATCAGACCAGTGCACACAGAGACAGGGATCAGGACCAGCCTGATCAAGAGCTGATGCTGTTCCCATAGAAGCCAATGGCACGCCTGAAAGCCAACAGAAGTTAAGTTTGAGTACATAAAAAGATGGAAAACCATCCCTGAACTTCTCCCTCCCTGAGGCTCAACAGAGTTTGGGGGCTGTAATCATGTCATCATCAGCCTCAAAAACATCAGAGCAGTCTCTCTGTAAAACCAGGAAGAATAGCCATCAGATTTAATGTGCTGCCCCTTCTCATTTCTCCCTTCCTACTGCTGAAAAGCACAGCAGTGAGGAGCTTTATCTCAGATATCAGCTTTAATATTTCATTGGCAAAGCTCTCCAGGATGTAATTTACTTTATTCTTATGCCACACAAAATATGAATGGGGTCCAAACAGCATGAATCACAGCTTACCATAATGACTGCTAAACACATTGTATCCCCAAAGTGAAAGTTGTCAGAGGCTCTGGCAAGAAGGATAAAAAGTAAAAATATCCATAATAACTGCAGGGATCTGTGTTGTGCTAAGAGGTCCAGGATAACTGGGAGGCATTGTGGTCAATTTGCTGTAAGCCTGGGTTTGTCAATTTACTTCCCTGTAACTCAGTTCCTTTATCTGAAAAACAGGAATAACATTATTTCTGAACTTTTTTCAAAGAGCCCTGGAAAAGTACTGTGCATGGGGAGTTAATATGAAATTATTATATTAGGCAATACATATGCAAGTAATACAAGTATATCTAATTTAGTATCTGACATTCTTCTGAATAGAAAGTGTTAAACATTCGCATTCTTCTGAATGGGAAGGGTGATCCTCTGTTTTAATTTCAAGTTTTGTGACTCTCTTCAGGATGCCTACTACATCCTGCACTGTTTTCCCATAATAAACTTTTATTGCTTGCGTGCAATGTTTTACAGTGAAAGAACAAAAATTAGAGTGGAAGAATATAACATAACAAAATTAAAAAGCAGTGAGAGGAAATCCACTTCTCTCTTAAACATTTACCCTTGTGTATAGTATATCCTTTGCCTCTCCACAGATCTACAGGGGCAATCCTGATACTGTTGCCAGACCTGCCTCTCTTACCCAGTTATTCCAAAAAGTGATTGTTTTAGTTCTTCAGCCAATTGTTTAATAAAATACTGCAGAATGCACTTATGGGGACAGGTCTTCAGTAAGCCTAAATCCTCATAAGGTGTTTATTCATTGTCATTTCTCAAGATTCATTGTTACTTCTCTTATTCCTTTTGCTTAGTATCTGCATGGTTTTTAATATTTTGAAAGTTCATTTTAAAAAGCAAGCTATCCTGAGATGACTGGACTGAATAAATGAACTCAGAAAAAAGCAAAAAGCTCTGGCTGAATCTTATAGTCTTCAGTCAGTATCCCTGAAAAGAGATCACTTTAGCATTGCCTGTAATCCCACAAATCCAGGGATTTTCCTACTTCTTTGTGATATGAGGATCATAAATAGAGTAATCCCCACTTCTTGACTTCACACACAAATGTATCTGGCAATGTCAAGTCTTCAACAGCAGTGACTGTCTTCTAGGCAATTGCCTGAAAACTAACAACCAACCAAACTGATAATGAAACTGAATCTTCTTAAAATTCAACAAAACTTCTGCTTTGACAGTATGTTAAGTTTACTATGTTAAAAATAAGTAAGTAAATACTCTGTAGTTCTTATCTTCTGATCTCACTTTCTCTAAACCCCAAGGTCACATGCAGCCATGGGCAGAAGGCATGTCAGCTATCCATGATCTGTCAGGAACTGATAAGACCTGGGCTGGGTTCCTGGGAAGCAGCGTCACAATTTAGTTCTCAGAGGTGGCAAGAAGGGAGATAAAAAGGATGGTTGGTCAGAAATAGCCAGTGAGATGGTTTTCCTCTGAAACAGAGCAATTTTACAGAAAGGAAATGTTTCAGCAGAGATAAATAACAAAATTTTAACATTCATAAATAGGACTGGCTTTGTTTTCTAACTGTGCTGAGAGGGAAATCAATGGTAGGGAAAGAACTTGGAGGACTCATGTCCTTTATTTTAATATTTCTGCTTGGTAATAAACATTGCCAAAGCATTTCAAAACCTGTTTTCTCTGGATAGAAGAGATAACACCTTGATTTGCTGCCACATAGCCTCAGACCAAAGTTCATTAATTGTTTGATAAATTCACTGTCTTAAGGTGAAATTTGGCTTTTACTATATCTCTGTGAATCTGCAATAGCTTCATCAAAATCAATGATTTTGCAGCAAGCTTTAAGTCCTGAAAATGAGGGGAATTACCACTGTGGTTTACTTCAGTGAAAATCAGCTTTCAGGAAGCTGCTCTCAACAGGCAGAGTTGCTGGAAGACACTACTTGTACTCCTCTTGCTTCTCCTTTCCATTAATGGGTAATAGCAGCAGCTTGTAGAGTATGCCAGGATGTGAGGGCTGAGCCAGTGGATGAGGCCAAGGTGGCACAAAGAAGGACTTTACAGAATCCGGGGCTTAAAAAAAAAAAAAAAAAGAACTAGCAATTCAGACAGAAGGAACAGTGCCAGCGAATGGCTGCGAGAAGCATGTAGGATAATTTAGATGTAGGTTAGCTGCCATGGCAACCATGTGCCAAATTACTGCACTTCTGTGTCTCTAAACCTGCCAGCAGCTAATTTTGTTTGTAGGTACTTCAGGTTTTAAAACAAATTAAACCACCTTAAAACTCATGAGGGATTGCAAATGACGTGCAGATACTGGGACTGCTGTGGGATGCTTGGTTTAAACATTTAGAAAATAGAGATAGGAAAAATAATAGCCCTTGAAAATTCTGATTTCAGTAAGGGGCTAAAAATATGTAATTTCTTTAACAGTCATAGCAGGCAGTTTTAACCCTGTTTGTACTGCCCTGTTTGTACTGCTTTGCCTTGACCTGATATTTATCAGGTCAACCTGATACTTTTACCTCAGATGTGTTTATAAGGAAGAAAGTGGTGTAAGCAGCAGCTCTGTTTATTTTTCACTGCAGGAAACTGCCATGTTATAAAAAGAAAAAGACATTTTCTTTTACTCCAGGATTCTTTGTAAAATCTTAGATCCCTAAGGAATAGAAACAAGGCTATCAAAGAGCATGCTGCAAGGCACATGCATATTATTAGTTACTAAGAATAGTCCATTGCTGAGTGTGAGTGAAAATATCCAAATGCATTCCCCTGATAAGTTAAGCATGTATTCCCCTCTCTGGGCACGCGTCAAAGTGTCCTCAAATGGAAAAATAATGTTATAATAGCCTAACCTCTACTTCCAGGCCATGTGCATGTAATCCTAGAGAAACACAATAGTCTTCACAACACCTCTAATGGAGGATGTCCACAGACCATTACAGCCATTGGACTCCTCTTGTGGGGTCCATGGAAACTCTTCAGAGTAGAAAGAGGTCAGTTTTTGTGATCTTCCCACTGAAACTTGCTGAACATCATTGAGATGTTCAGCCATTCGTTGAGAGGCATTAGGGTTGACCCCCAAAATCAGCATGAATCTTTGAATCAAGTGCAACAAAAAGCTGTGGTCAATGCCAGGAGATAATTCCCTGTCCCTCCATAATCACATGATACTCACTGTACAGTCTGGTATTCAGTAATCAGGGCCTGCCTCCAGGCAGAATGCTGGACAGAGATTTTTATTTTGATGGCATTTTCCCAGTAGCTTCTCCTTAACAGGATTTGTCTTAAGATCTGTGTTTGAAAAATTGAAAACAGTCTCAATTCTGTTATGTTTTCTTGGCCAAAATTTGAGATAATAGCCCTTAAACACCACAAATGAAAAACTAATACAAACAGTTATGTGACCACATTCTCCAAGAACATTCAGTTACCCTGTGAGGCCCTTGCCCTGTTGCTTTTGTGGCTCACTCTTGTTACAAGAGTGATGTCATGGAGCATTAAGTATTTGATTTTTCTTGCAGAGTTTTCACTTGATTTCATTATTTTAGCCTGTTGCAGTTATCTGTGTCAGCAGAGTTGTTCCAAAGTTGCTTCCAAGCTACATGGTTACCTAAAAATTCTGGCTCCAATGCATCTGTGATTCAGCATGTCCAAAGCTGAATTGTGCTGTCTGGGAGTGGTCTGTAGCACAGCGGGGAGCAAGAGATGAGTGGGAAGCAGAGCACAGAGCATTGTTTACAGCCAAGAAACCTGCCTCTTGGAGTGTGTAGGTGTAAACCCTTAAGATGTTCTCAGGTTAAGCACCAAACTCAGTGCCCCTTTCCTTCCTGCTTTCTGCAAGTTAAAGTTAAAAATGTGTTTTCTCTCTAAGTATATGGCCACCTGAGACACCCTGGATCAGTATGATTCCAATTACCCTCAGCAATGGTTAAATACCTTTGTGGATGTGAATCATGTCAATCTCAGGATGCAGTAACAATGCCAGGACTTCAAATTCTGCTGTTGGAAAACCCCTGTTCTTCTAACATCATCCCCTGCTGAGCACTGTGTGTCCTGAGGAAAGCATCCACTGCTGACAGACTGTCCCATTGGTGTGACCCAGTTAAGTACAGATGGAGACCTGATATGTAACCTGTGCTCCACTGCACATGGTGTAAATACAGGGTCATTAAGCCAAAGATATTTTCAGATATTATGACATCCAATATGCCTTGTCTGGCATTACAGGCACAGTCATCAGTAAAGGTGTGTCACAGAAGCATTACTAGTCTTTGATGGCTACTGTTTGCTTTCAGGTTGGCAGTTCATTGGTCTTCTATTCAACCAGTGCCTCCTTCTGAGGGAAAAACTCCTGGAACTGCTGATATTCTCTTCTCTGCTTACACTCTGCTCTCTAAGCCAATGTCTGTCTATTTTTGCATCTACGGAGCCCCTTGCAGTTGCAGGAGATATTGATACATCTGTCTCTGAACTCTTCAGGTGTTACTGTGATGCTTTATTGTGGTATTTTGGACTGCCAGTCAACCCTGACTAAAGCACCAGAACACTCAGTAATCTTCTAAACTGGCAAGGGTTAATCCAGGGTTTCCTTGTGATCTCTTATGAGGTTTTTTGTTTGTTCTGATGCTTTGTTCCTTTGTCTGGAACTTGAGACATTTGTTGTCAGGTTGTGTACCTCTATGGTTTCACTTTCCTTTGTGGCTCCAGGTTAGATCTCATCTCTCAAACTGTTAATTTGACATAAGGGTATAAGAGCAGCTGTTCTAGGCCATAGCAAAGATCCATACAGCTCCATCTTCTCTCAGCAGCGGCAAGTAGTGGATACCTATGAGAAACAGGGTGAGTACAGAAGGTTCCTTCCTCTTTTATATCTTCCAGTTTCTGGCAATCAGCAGGTCAAGTTTGTGAGCCAAGGGCACACCCAGTCCCTGGACTGAATGTTAAGCTGGTGGTTTTGTGGTGACATTTACAGTGACTGCAAGAGCTCCTTCTGGAGTGACAACTGCTTATTCAGAAGCAGTTATTTGGGCTGCATTTATTAGGGCTGTATTTTTCGCATATGCACTCTTTTGTATTTATCAGCGTTGTATTTTTCTGCCATTTTACTACCCAGTCAGTTGATAATGTGAGATCCCTGTGTTACTTTCTCAGGCAGATTTTGGTTTTGACTGTTGGAAACAGCTTTATATCATTAGCCACTTTGGCTATCCACCATCTTTTTCCAGCCCATTTGTGGATGTGTTGGACAATGCAGGACCTGTCCTGCTCTCCTGTGCTTGCCTTTTTGAAAATTCCTTTAACTGATGATCAGTAGCTTCCACCTTTGTTTTTCATCCTCTAACCCATTACTAATTCACAAAAGGATCTTCCTTCAAGCAAAGGCTTTTTAATGAGCCCTCTGAGGTTTGGGGAATCTTCTGAAAAAATTTCTGAAAATGCTATTGTATAAATGCTGGGGGAATTTGGAGTGCTGGAAAGGAAGGAGATGTATTTGCCTTTGAGACCAGAAAGGTTTTAGTTTTCTTATGTTCAAACTTCCCCTTAACCTGAGAAAATGGTGTAGTCTTCCAGAGCACTACTTGTGAAAAGGCAGCATATTTCCAGTGAAATCCATCTGGCAATGCTGATAACGTGGCCTGAATGTTCAGCTTATTAGTAGAACTACGAAGGGGTTTTTTTTCATTTACTAATTTCTTTGGATGCTGTTTTGTAAGCAAGAATACTTTTATCTCTTCATAATGAACAATTGTACTCTGTTCAGAAGGAGTCAAACCCACTGAGAGGGAATGCAATATGTGAACTCCAGTTAGACTTGGGTGGAGTTAATGCAAGTTTATACTGAAGCCCATGAAGGCACAGTCAGGGTTTGCATCTTTACTGCGTAGCAGGAACAGCTTCTGCTGCCAGTGAAGTCAGAATAGCTTAGTCACTGATTTCAGTAGGAAAAGGAGCACCATTTGTCATACAAGATACACTTGACCTATCTTTTTGTAAATAATGAAAGAAGATGTTTCAGGAAATTTCACAGTGTCTTTATTCATTTGATTATTATTCCACCTGCTTTGATGGTAACTTTATTTGTCATCTGTCAGAAAATGAAACTCAGTTTATACTCTTAATATCTGAATAGAGCTATAATGCATGTACATGGGCTTGTATTTAGGAGTGGTGCCAACACTGAGTAATTTTAATATATCATATGGTTGATAATATCTGAACAAATATTCTACAATAAGTCACTATAGAAATGAAGGTAGGTTTCCTGTGTGGCTTGCAATATTATACTAAAATACAAAAGAAACCTGACTGGGTTTCAGTTCTGAAATAATAGATACTGAGCCATTTTCAGGTTTGCTCCATATTGCCAAAGTGTTTAAACAGGTGTGTTTCACAAAGTTTGTGAAACAAAAGCTCACCTCAAAGTAAATCAACATTAGGAAGCAAAACCAGTGCTGAGTGATAGTGCTTAAAAACTGAGAAACAAGAGTGGTTTTAAACAGCAACTGAAAAGACACTTTGATGTTTTTTAAAGCACTCCCCTATAGTCTAAAATAATTTTAGAGTTTTCTGTGATTATGTACAAGACACTGTATCTTATATCAGGGTAGTTCTGTAGTTTGGATTATGCCCATCAAACATTCACTATTTTATTGTAATATGAGCATGTCAGCAGTTTTGGAAGATTAAGAAAACATGCTTATGAACCCAACTGCTAAAACCCACTATTTTTTATCTAGAGCATGTGTACAAATGGGGGAAAAGTGCAATAAACCTAAAGGCCTTGTTAACTTCTTGACCGGCAGTTATACTTATGGTTTGTAGAAACAGACAAACTCCTTTGCAGTGAATGAAAGGGTAGGCCAAATATTGTTTGCTGAATTCAAGTGACATCTGTAATCAACACCTTAACTTGCTGACAGCTGAGAAAGCAGCGTTCCCTTGCACTGTGAGCTGAACACCTCCCATTGCCGCAGAACGACAGGTGGCCTCCCTCTGGAACACAAGGCTCAGCAGCAGCACAGGCAGGAGGAGTATTTGGGTCAAAGAGTGCTAGCAGAGGCAGAGGTGGATAACGTGACCTGAGGAGAAATTAAGAAAATCTTAAGAATTCTGTCTGATTTTACAAAAGTCCCTAAAACCTTTAATTCATTTGAATTCACTGAAGGCAAATGGCTTCATGCCTTTAAGTGTACAGAAACCTTGTGACAGCAGGGCTTGCATTGTGTAGCTCTCTGACATGACTTAGGAAGATAAGATATGAACAATGGGGAGTTATTAACATGAATAATTTTCCATGCAAATTGGAAGCACTGCAGAACAATAGGATGGCTCTGGCTTAATGGCATCAGGTTTTCTGCAGAGTTGAGTATAAAATATCACAATAGGAAAGAAATAATGGAGTCAAAAGCTACTAGAATAAAACTGCTTTGAAAAATTAGCTCAGGCAGGCGGACCACAAGATCCCTTTTCTTGAAATTGTTTCCAGAGATTCAGTGCCCAGAAAATATGCCTGGAAAGCCAGAGCTAAAGAAAAACCACAGCTTTTCCAAACCTGAAGAAGTTTACAAATACAATGTGTGAATCTAAACATCTTCACCAGATTCACCTTCATTCCACACCTTGGGGTCAGCAGGATTATGACAGACGCATTTGCATCTATATTAATCAAATATGTTGCATCCTTCAATATAGGAAACAGAGAAGCAACATGAGAAAGATGAGCAAGCTAAATTTCTCCATGTCTCTTGGTGTGTTGTATTCAGGAGAAAGGATGTAGGAAGGAGGAGGGCTAGTGGAAGATGAATGCTACATGTTCCTTGGGGTAGGTAGTTGCTGGTCTGTTCTTCCCAAGACTGTATCTCTGTTACATGGGATACAGGTCTCAGCTGAGCAGCAGAGCTGGTGCTAGTCCAAGGGGCAATATCTTATACTGGTTGAAATACCAGTCCCAAGAAGTTCAAGGGAAAAAGCGTTCTCACAAAAGATAACAGCTCCCTGCTGTTCCACTCCCTGCCTGTTCTGTTCCATCCTTGCTGAAGCCTCCTCCACTTACACACACCTGACACCCGTGGGAGTGATCTAACAGAAGTGTTTCCATTTGACATTTTCATGGACAGTCTATGGAGCAGCAGGATGCTCTCTGAAACAAGCAGACCTCTTTTGATTTATTCACTCCAACAGTGAGGATAATTTTAGAGCAAAAATGACAGGAAATAATTTTTTGTGCAGTTCATCAGGAAATAGAACAGGGCAAAGCACCAACTATTGAGGAACAGGAGCTGTCCATGCTGCATATTCAGTGCCTGTCTGCCTGTAAAAGGAATTCAAAATATAATGTTCATAAAAAGGGTTGATTTTCCTGAGTCAAATCAAACTACCGTATGACTGTGTGTTCAAAAACTGCCAGTGTAGTTTATGTTCTGTTGGAAACCAAAAGGTGACAATCAGCCAGTTCCAGTCCATCAAGTGCAACACTGACTGAAATCAGCAAAGCTGTATCACTTGCCCCTAAGTCTGAAAGGTATCCAACAAATTGCTGACATAGAAGAGATCACTCAACCATTTCTAGTACTAGGGAAGGAGGGAGGGAGAGATGGAAGGAATTATACCCTTAGAACAAGATTGCTGTATGTCTGTGTTTGGGAAGTCTACACTGCTGCTGCTGCCTTTGTGAGCCTTTCTGTGGTTACAGGCAGGATTTCAGTCTCTGTGCACCTTCTGGTGCACTTGGCAGTCTGGCACCTTCAATGCATACTTGATTATCTACTGAAAGTCTTGATGCTAATTCTTAAAATTAAGAAGCTGTTTTCCTCTGCTCATGTGAAATGAGAAAGTAAATTTGTTTGCATGTCAATTTCTGTTGCAGTAATGAATCATCACTCAATACAACAGCTTTTGTATTTTGTACACAGGTTTTCTGCCTATGTGGAAGAAAGACTACCCTGTTTCTGCAGTCTGATAGCATAAATCCAGCCAGATCTCTCAAGTTTCTGATGGCTTCTTTCCTTCGTGAAACTTTTCTCCACACTATCATATTATGTCCCTTAATATATTTTATGCAAACTTACCACTTTCAGAGTGGCCAAAATAAAATGTGACACAAAGGGAGTGTTCCTGTATACATTGAGTCAAGGTGTGAAAGTCCTTGCTTCCAAAGCCTGAACTTTTTCATGCAGAACTGAATCAAATATCACCTCCTTTAATTGGTTACCTAGCTGCACAGAGGTAAAATCAGAAACCCCTTCTTCAGCACAAGCGATAACAGCTGTTCCTATAGAAGGTGGAATTCTTCTATGGTGACTTCAGAACAGTGTCAGATTTAAAGTGGCCTTTGGCTCTTCTTGGCTTTAGACACAGATCTCTTTTTAGTGAGCCTTCAGTGACCCTCTTGTGATGTTAGTTTGGTGGCTGACCAGCGAGAAGGTTGCTATTTCAGCAAAAATGCAGGAGAAATGTGACAGCTGTGTGGGCAGCAGCAAAATCAGAAGCACTACACTTCTTGGAAATGAAAGACAGGCTTTGAAGCTACTTCAAGATTAAGAAACAGAAGAAAACTATCCAGTTCCTGAGACCAGGATGCAGCCTTAGCTGCATCCAAACATCAGCTTGACTGTAGTCTCACCTCACAACTGCACTCACTGGCACATTGGCAGTGAAGCCTAGATGCACAACCTTGTGAGGAGCTACTGTACACTCCAGCAGCTAATCTAAACACAGACAAGGTGCATATCCCTCCCTAGGACCCAAAATGTTACTCAGCAGTTGAATAAACATCCAGGATGCTGTTTAGCTGTAGGCCTGATACATGCTTTGCTTGCTTGTTGTGTGCCTATGACATTCAAGCTATAGTTTCCTTATTTTGTGGCCCCCTGAGACACCCTTTTTATAATACAGTAGATCTGCCTTGCCTTGTGTGTCACAGTGCCTGTGGCATGGAGGTGAGAAAACTGAGCTGATCTAGCACCTTTACAAGTAAATGGCCTTACTAGTTGTGCAATGTAACTCTCAGTCTCAAATATTATTACTTATGAATTTTTTCCATCACAGTTGATATTCTTAGTAGTTTCAATTGTCATCTATGGGTAGAATTTTCAAAACCACAAAGTGTCAGCCTAACTCTGCTTTCAACAAAATCGACAGTATTTTTATTGACCTTGAGTTTGGGTGATGGCTGTGCATTAATAAAGCATTCATCTTGTATTGGGACAAAAAGAACCTCCAAAAGAAGACCTGCTCCTGAAAGCATTTAGTTAATTAAATCTTTCTTTTTAATTCTGTCTCTGCTTCCCCATAATATTTTAAACATTGAGAAAAGTTTCTGACCATGAACATATCAAACAAATGTGGATAGGTCAACCATTGAAAGCAATAACATCTGCAAAATCACGTAAGAATTAACTGTCTGTCTACCAATGAAAATAAATTTTAAGTTCTCTTATTCCTAGTGCTCATAGGAGCCTTTTAGAAAAGTCAACTCTTTCTGGGCCATACTTCAAGGGCTTATACAAAATTGCTTTTGACCTGCCATTTCTGAAACCTTATTCACCGACAACTTCTGGCACTTTGTCCTAATGCTGAAATCATCCTTTTAAAATTAATGAATGTACCATTCTCCAACATCCTACACAGTCTTCTAGAGTTTCACGCCTGGTCATAGGAAGGGTGGTTAAGCACTCAAACAGGTGCCCAGAGAGTTTGTGTGCAGCCAAAACCCAACTGGGCAAGGCCTGAGCAACCTGATCTGTCTGTGACATGCTCCCTGTTTTGAGTAGCAGCTTGCACTACGTGGCCTCCAGAGATCCCTTCCAACTTCAATTAAGTCTCGGATTCAATGATTCTGCTTCTTTTTCCCATGTACCACCCACTGCTATGGGAGATCTCACACAAAAATGCAGCTATTGTAGCGCTCTCCTGCTAGCCTTGGCCTTTCACAATTGTTTTTTCCCTAATAAATACTCTGCTTCAGTATTTTCTCATGGTGTCTAGCCATCAGTTTAAAGGCAACACAGAACTTCAAGCCTTTCGTCCAAAATCCTCAAGTTCAGTCTCAGTGTTAGGTATCACCTTTTTCTTGTCCAGCTTTTAAGACTACATATTCAAGCTGTATCTAAACATTGCCATTTCTTTGTACATTAAATCTCCTACACTCATGCCTCCCTGACAGTAATGAGGGACCTAATATAGGGTTCCAGAGATGTGAGCTTTATATTAGTATTACATCTACTTCTGTACATCATTTTGTGCGGGTTATTTGGTTGGGTTTTTTCTGCATTTTGATGAGTCACTTCAGATATTCTACAGTTTCACAGATTTTTTTCTGCTTTCCATTTGTTTTTTCTTTTATTAAAAGCTTAATCTTTTAATTGTCTTAATCAGACATTTTTTAAAAAAGGTCATTTCTAAAAACTGAAATTAAGATTAATACCATAGTCTTAGCTCTCCTTCTAGCTCTCATGTCATATCTTTACTATTGGATGACAGGAAGGGTGACTGCAAAGATAGTGAATTTAAGATTCATAATACTTGATGTTGTTTCCTGCATTTCAGTAAGTCCACAGTGCAGAGCTTCATATGAATTAGGAGTACTTCAGTTGAAATACATGAAGACTTTGAGACATCTAATTTACATTTTGAAAGCAGAGTCCTTTATTTAAAACCTCCCTTTGGTATCTATTTACCTATTGAAGTCTAAAGGGTAAACATAACCAAAAGCTGCACCTCAGAAAAATAGGGATGGCACAATTTCCACCCTCTTAACCTTCTTCAGAATATGACAATTTTAACATCTTTCCAGCAAGGAATATATTTTAAAGTATGTTTCCACAGAATAACTGGATATCCACTATTTTGAATGAGTGGAGAACAGAATTAAAAAAAAAAAACAGAAATTTAAACCCCCCCCCCCCCAAAAAAACCCAAACAACAAAACACCACCATCAGGTTGTACTGCTTCAGCTTTTAAAGGACAGCCTTTTAAGAAATGCATCTTTTCTTATGCTACAGCCTTTCAGGAGAGATTCCACTTTCTAAGAAAATCAGTGAGAGTAACTTCTGTAATTTCATCTTGGTCCTGTAAGTTAGGCTAGGATATGCAGCTGAAACTAAAATCTTCCATACAGTTTCTGTTTTCTGCAAGTATTTTTGAATATCAGGTGACATATGTGGGTGGGGGAACTTCAAGATTAGCTTTAATCAAATCTCAGCTTTTGCAGGAACTTCCCAAAGCCTTTCTCACCCTTTTCTCCTGACTGAAACATTTTGCTAGTTTTGGGTGCATTCCAATTAGAACCTAAAATATTTTATTTTGGTTTGCTGTCTTGCGATGTTCCAAGTATTCCCAAGTTTCATTTCACCATTCAGATCTATCCCTTTAGCCTTCTATTGTGAACCTAGCCCTAAAATATTACTTCTGTATCTGAGATACAGACCACATTCAAACAAATCTGGTGATTTCCAGAAGACTTTTAGTCTGAATAAGGAAGATAAAAAATTGATCTTCCACCACAGGCAATGAAGACAGAATTAACAGGACTGAAGAAAACTGAACCTGTAGAGAAAGCAGCTTCTTGATACCATTTTAGAAAGAAAAGATGAAAGATAGCTTCTCTATGTTTCTGTGTAGAAATATCACTCATTCAGTAGTGATCAGCAGAAGAGCCTTCTAATGCAAGAGTGTAGTTTCATAAAGTGAGAGTCGAAGAGTGAACAAATAATCCAGAACAAACTCAATGCTTTTAACCATCTTTCTCACGTGAAAAAAATATTAATTTTAAAAAAATGGCAAATGTAAAGTTAGAGCTGGAACTTGTGACCAGAAAGAAGATACTTGGGGAAAAAAAATATTTCACACAAAAAAGGCCCAGCAGGAAAAGCTATTAAAATGAGTCCTTACAGTTATTTAGTGTGTAATATAATAGATCCCTTTTCTGGCTGAGAATTTTCAGGATGTCATAGAACATGTAGTAAATCATACCAGAAGCCATCAGTTTCTTTCCAGTGATAACTGGTTAAATACACTGTGATTTTCCTCCTCGCTTTAGCTTGCCTTCAATTGCTCATGCCTTTTCTTTGGCTTTCTCCTTCTTCTCACCTCACAAGTATTAATTTTTTATTGGCTTTCCTCATTTAACATTTTGTCTTGCCATCATGATCTTTTCCTATTCCACTATTCCAGCTCCTGGTCTCTTTTGCAGACAAGCATTTCTTATCTGCCTGTTTCTCCTCCCAGCACAAATAACCTTGATTATATTCTATTCTTAATTCTGCTACTTCTACAGATTTTTCGCTCTCATTTCTGTTGGAATAAGATTCATTAGGAAGCAGGTAAATACAATTTTATCAATAAGGCAAAATGCCTAAAATTCACATACACATTGCCAATATTCACATACAGGACATTGACAGAAATGTGAGCAGCATATTTTTCTCCTTGAAATCAGTGCAATGTAAACAAAGCTTTTCCTGTTGATTTTAAAAATGCAATTTTTTTAACTCTATCAATTATTTCTAGTTGTTACTTTCCAAAAGCTATGTTGCTTCTGTTTTTTGTTTTTTTTTTTCACTATGTACCATTATTAGTTTGGGTTTGTTTTGATTTGTTTACATTGCATTGGTGAGGTTTTCATGCTGGGTGGAGTTTGCTTTTTCCAAACCATCCACTCAGTTTTTCTCCCTTAGTGCATTTTAATTTCTTTCAACTAATTCATCCTACACTACCAGTGTTTTCCCTTAACTAAATACAGCTATTTCTTGCAGTCTTGATACTTGAAACATGGAAGAGCTCTTTCTTTTAGAATTATTTTGTAACATGGTCTCTACTTAGCAAATGCACCTAACTGATGATTTTGGATACTCCAGGTATGTTGCACATGGTACCTGTAAGCACTGTAAGCACACTGTCTAGAGCTGGCTTTTTTAATTACATCTCGGGCCCCCACCAGTTCAGTTCCTGGCAATTGAGTTCAACTAAACTGTTTTCATCATAGTCTCTAGTGGCTTCTTAACTGCAGCTTACAATTCTAGCACTGCAGCCTTCCAGTTCTTGTTCTGCTGGTCATTCTTGGAACAACTACATCATTTCTGAATATTTCATACTCATTGGTTTCAGGGTCTCCATTCT